GTCACTGCGCTGCGCCGACCGCCTGCGCTCCCAGGCGGGGGAGTGGCCCGTGCTCAGGGGTCTTGGCGGCGACGATGAACGCTGCTCCCTCTATAATTACTTTCCGTGTCTGCGTGCGATAAAGGGCACTGCCAGTGCATGGACAATGTGTTTGTTTGTTCTTCGATACACGATAATGCAGACATTCTTTTGACAAATCAGATCTTTTCTCTAATTCGGCTGCACAGACTGTTCTTGGCTTTGCGTGCTGGGGGAACACGTGCATAGGGCTTTTCGTATCTTTTTCTCACTATAATTCAATTCTCAGTAGAAGGAATTGGTTACCCTGAAATGTATGCACGGTTGTTGACGATCAAATGTATTTAGAGTATGGATTCAGAAAAGAACACATTTATTCCGCAATCTCTCTGTGCGGCTGTTTCTTTAAATTGTGTTTCTGCTGTATATGAAATTCATATTAGAGTACAATAGACAAGAAAATTTCTACCTCTACTTCTATAACATTTCTAAATTCTTCTCTGTGCTTTAGTACTGCAGATGATATCATTTCTTACATTTAACACCAGGCAGAAAAGTCTGTATGAACAGAATACGAACTGCTGAATATTCCGGGTTCGCATTCAACTTATATCAATACTTCGAATTGCATTTCAATAAGAAAGTATATTAAACACGAGAGTAATAGTTCGCGTCGAAAAAGAAAATTCAAAATATTGTTATGGTGAAATTTCGCTAATAACGTTGGCGGTATCAATTACTGAGTACTACGTGTAAGTCGATATGTAGAAAACATGAATTTATTCAAGTTATTTAGTTTGTAAGTCGGAAGTCGCAATCCAGATACTAATGAGTGAAGGTTTCGTGAACAGGTACCATTGCAAGACGACAAAATAGTAATTAAGTGGGCTTGTGATTTGAATTTACTTATTCGATGAAAAGATCTTGAAATGTATGGAAATAAATGATAATACTATTCGGCTCAAGGAAGTTCCGACGAAGAAATCTCCTTGTAGCGTGACGGCCCTCGGTCGCGTCAGACTCGCAGAGGTCTTTTCTCCCTGAACAGAACGTTGCCTTCCCACTTCACAGAATGCCTTGGCTCCTCTGAATGTTGGACCATTAATCTGGAACGTCTTCCCCTCTCACGTTCCGACTTTGCATCAGCACCTTACATCAAGTGCACCCCGTAAATATTCACGATCATGCGACGAAATGTAAGCCATGCTCTCTGCGTAATTTGATTGAATCTTTGGTAATATAAAAAAAATATTTCATAAGAATGTTCCAACATTATTACTCTGCCTTACCTGGTAATAGTTTATATTCTGAGCTGAAAAGATTCTGTACTTTTTTTATTTTCGCTATATTGCAAGTTAGTGAATCGTGTTCTCATAAAAAGATGCACTCTCCATATTGGGGTGAGTTGTGCTCTGCGTCGAACTAAATGAGTAAGACTGAATTCAAATATTTCCTTTCAAATTATTCCACTATCTGTTTACAGAACGTTCATGAATTTTAAACGTGAACTTCTATTTAGTAATAAAATGTCTATTAATGTCGTATTTAAAAACATATTTTTTTTCAAAAAGTGTTTAAAACATAAGTATGCAAAAAAGTTTCCAGACTGTTAAGAATTTGAAATATTTCCTCCAATATTTAATAATACTGGATTCATATATTTAAGTGTCAGTGTGTAGAACTGGTTCATTAATATTTCTTTGGCAATCTAAAATTTGTACATATTGAGTAAAAGTACGAGTAATAGTACGAGTAATAGTACGAAACGCTTCAAACAAAATGCCTTCTTAATAATTAAAGTGATGAACGTCTTTCTAATCAGAAGAATGATTTGACGGAAATTGTTATTTCTGTCATCTTATGTTCTAACAACTATTCGACCTGCTCCTAGGAAAATAGTTTATACGTTCATTGAACTCAAAAGTATTACTTCATAAAAGGCAAACATATGCCGTCTAAATCCAAGAATAAACGTGGAATAAGTGGTAATGCACTTGTTCTAAGATCAGAATATCCACTAATTGGCAATCTATTTCTTACCTTGCTGTCTCTGTGTCTCTGCCATTGGTATTTCAGTAGGACCACAGGCAAAGGTCGTCACGCCGCGCTTGCCTCACTGCATCCTCATGAGGACTGGGGGGGGACTCCCCCTCCCCGGGACGCCGTACAGACGAAAACCGGCGCGCCATCACATCATAGCAGCTTGCAAGGACATTCCTGCGACACAGATTTGCAACGTCATTCCTCCGCCAAGGAGCAACACAAAATAGTAGAATGCTTGTAGAAAACGGAATGTAAAACGTTCGCGCAGGAAGATGTCAAATTCTGCGGTTTGTTCAAAACGAGATAATTATTATTTGTGGGATTTCTCTTGGTTCTCTGGGCGACACCGCCTACTCAGGCTGGTTTGACATCTTTTTTGGCCTTTCTGGCATCCGCTTCTGGCCAATTGCGCCGAGCGATTCAGCTAATATCACTATAGATTGGTCAAAGAGTTTTCGTTCCAGCCTCAGACGCTGCGTCATCCGGATAGCCAAAACATCTCATGACGTCGGCCGCGGATGCCTATGATTTCAATTAACATTCGTGACTCAAAAACGTTAGCCAACCTAATTTCTTTGGGATTTTAAACAAACATAAACTTTTTGGAAGTTAGAGACAAAATTGCGTCAAAATACTACAAAATATGTCCGTTATGGTATTTTAATACTTTCACCGTTTGAGTGTTATCATGTTTATTGATTCTGTAACATGTCTTATTACGGATGTCCGTTAGAACTACTGTTTGAAAATGAAGAGCACCCGGAAAGTCTCACCGCAGTGACGTCTTGCTGTTGAGAGCGCTAGCAACATAAATTATGTTGGTAGCACGAACTACAGCCTTCAACAAAAGAAAACGTAAATACCGTACTTCCCACAAACATGACAGATGCTAGAAGTGTGGTCCCCATCACTTGTTTCTCGGTGATCTAGTCGCTGTCAATATAAATGCAATTTTTAATAGCAGTCTCTGACTCAGTTCAGTGCGAAAAGACTTTCCTGGTGCCCTAAATAGCACAAGCATTGAAAGCGCAACAATCAATTTGCTTAAAATATTCTACTATTTTCATGTTGTATTTTCATTCTTGTTTTACGCACTTTCCACAGCTTGAGCAAGAAGACTGCTCGAAGCGCATCATCAAAGCACTCACTTTGTTACAATATTTCGACAAGCCATCTCTCACTTGCAATTTATCATTCATTACTGCGCAATACTGCATTGTCTTTTACGGACTTATAATTTTAAATAACTTGAACTGAACTTCTTAAACTTCAGCCAAAAAATGCAATCCTAGAAAAAGGGGATTGGGTTTTTTAACTTATTTATATCACTTTCTATTTTAATTGATAATTTTGAAATATTTCTAGTGGCATTTGAAAATTAGAAAAGTAATAATAAGAATTAAATTATAAAAATAATAAGTGCTAAAATATCAATCTATAATCGAACTGGCAGATATAACTAATAAAAATATTAGTAATACCAAGCCAATTACAATATTTTCATTTTTAGACGCTGAAAGTGAAGGCTTTCATTCTTCAACAAAATGTACATTTCCCCAATGAACTGCTTCACAAGCCACTTTTTTCTTCAACATAAGCATTATAAATATTCGCTGACTTACAATATAACAAGTAACATGAATATTTTGGAACTATGCACATGATACAAGTAACTAATAAATTATCTGTTTAGCATAAATAATGCAATAATGAGGTTCCTGCCTCCCGTCATTCATAGTATTTAATGCATATAACAAATTTTGCATTTCTATAAAAAACAAACATTTTTTGCAGTGCCAACAGTTTTTGAGAAACAGCATGATTACGTTGTTAATAAATTTCTCACCACTTTTTCTTTGTAGCCATCACCTACTTACACTTTGATTAATTATGGCAATAGTGAATTAATTCTGTACTCAGTAATACTGAATGGTGTGGGTATTCTGTACTAGTTTTAGGAATAGTATTTTTAATTCCACTAATTACCTCGTATAACTGTGATGTATGTGAATGAATGTAGTGAGTGGCTGTACTCAAATATTAGTTTTAAAATAAAGCCGCATAGTAACTCGAAAAAAAATATTAAAAATAATATGTAATGCAAATAGGTAATAATAATAAACAAAACATTCCTTTATAATTTTTTCACAATTCATAATAATATTTTCTCAGAATATTTCACACAGAAATCAATAGCTAGAGTTTGAGTGTAAAAAAACTCTAGAATCGCGAGCCTTTCCTTCATAAGCTGGAATGATACCTTCTTGTGAATTCTGCAGGAAATTACAAATGTTTGCAGTTATTTAACTTTCATCCCTTTTAATTAAATGCTCTGGTATTTTGTAATGCGCTTGACTTTTCTTTCAAAATATAGCTCTCGTGTCATTTCATTCGTAAAAACGTGCAGATAAACGAAAAATTATGCATTCCAAATTTCAAACTGCCTTGTGTCATTTATTTCTGTTCAATTTTGTAAATTAAATCGCAAACACTTGAAGACTCGTGTGTTCAAGATGGGGATGAAAATGCTGTAAAGTCTGTTAAGTGCTTTCTTGTACACCCTATTTGCTTCATTCTTAAAGTTAAACTAATCATCAAAAAAAGCTTTGTAATTTATTTCAATGACATAAATATTATTTGCTATTTAACTTGAAATTTCTTGTTGTTTGTAAAATTAATTCACTTTCAGTGGCGTCACATTATTGTTCAATCACAAAAACTTAGCTTAGCGTACTAGCAAACTAGTAACGGGGCTGTGACTTAGAAACGAGCAGCTTGATATTTTATTTTACCTCTAAAATAGTCGCTTAACGCCACATCTCGTGTTTCATCATCGGAAATCTAATCGAATTATAAAACGTAAGTAGATAGCGACGTAGCGTGAGTGTATGTGAGTGCGTGCGAGTGGAAGCCATGTTTACCTCTAACTTAAGTGTCAGTATGTGTTTGCTGTCTTGTTTGTTTGTTGGTCACACAGCCACACAGCAGCGCCCAGCTGCCGCCGCCGCCAGGGCGCGCGCGTGGCGCTCGCCGCTCCGTGCGCCCCCGCCCAGCCCCCGCCCGCGCTCCGCTCCGCGCGCGCGCGCCCGCGCCCGCGCCCGCCCGCGCTCGCGCCCACCCCGCCGCCTCGCCGTGCATCCGCCGGCCTCGGCGTCGTTGGCGCGCGCCCCCCGCTCAGTGTTGTTGTTTTTGTTCGTTTGTGGTGATGGCACAGAAGGGCTAACGCGAACGACCAAGGCCGCCGGGATACCTCCTGTGATGGAGTATGGTTGACGACTCCGTGCGGCACTGCGCCGGCCCGTGACGTCGCCCGCCGCCACGCCTCCCCGCCGATGCGCGCCCGCCCTCCGGCCCGCTCGGCCGCGCACGCCCCTCCCCCGCGCTCGACGCCCGCGGGAAGAGCAGCTCGCCACCGCCTCGCCGTCGCGCTGTTCTAACGGCCTCGTCCTCCCGCGCGCCTCTTCTCTTCGCCGAAAACTAAGCCTTACCAACGTTTCCTTTCTTGCAATGGATAGCAACACCTGTCTCCTGATATTCCGTGTCAGTTCGTAGACCCTCAATTTTGTAACTGTTTTCGCGGCTTTTTCAAAGAAATCGGTAGCATTGCTTTCGCATTTCCGCGGATCTATCTAGAACTCGCATATTGCTGCATACACGAGATCTACTAGCAACGCAAATCAGGATTCCTGTTAGAGATGCACTAACATGTAAAGGGAAGTACATTTAAATTCTTCGGCCATAAAAATATACACACAAAATATCAAACTTATCAAATTCTCTATTGTCTGTGAATTTAAATAAATAGCATTTGGAATCTCCAACGCAGGTCATTATCATCGAAAGAAAGAATGGAAATAAGTTTACATTTTGTGAAAGTCACTAATTTCGAATAAAAGTCAGTTTAATTTTTTATTGTTTTTCTATTCTGATTAATATTATAAATTAGGTTTTCTGTACTACTTAGTTCACGCACGGCAATCGTTTTGAAATTCGAGGTTTTAAGGCAACGATAAATTTATTTTATAAAAAAAATTTCACTTCAAACAATATTTGAAAAGTGACTATGCACATATTACTCCTTTACGTAAAAAGTAGTTCAAATAGTGTAAAATGCTTCCAAGTTGATTCGACTTTACTCTCATGAATCACAGTTCAGCATTACGTTCTTACGGCCTTAATGATTTCCGCGCTTGAAGACAACCGCAGACAAGTCTAACCTCCTGTGTACAAACAATATGAGGATTCTATCATTACAGATTTGTTAAATTAACTGTCATAACCGCGCAGTTTCTAAGAAGTGCATATATTGAAACGCGTTCCAAAGGAGATAGTCTCTTCTAAAGGATAACCGAAATATTATTTATCTCCAAAAAAAAGCTTTGAGCAGACTTTTCTACTGAAATCGCGAGTTTAGCGGAGTGTTTGATATGCGGACAGACGATATCAGATATAGAACATTTTTTCACAAAGAAGAAAACAATATACCTTGAAACACACTCTGTTGAGAAACGTCTTTGATAATGTTGGAAATTATTGTATCAAACTAAAGGTTCCAAAGAGAATGAGAATTGAGCAAACTGAGCGCAACTGAAGAGAAATTACAAAACCAGACACATCTCTCCCGTGTACTTGTGGGGGTGAGCGTTACCGATCGAAGTCTCTCGCAAGAGACAATCACTCGAGTAGTCGGAGTGTGTAGGCTGGCGCTTCACATGGCCATTGCAACTAAATAGAGTAACGGGGCACCCCAGTAACATGCGAGAACTGAAGAAATTTAAAAAAACTCTAACGAAATAATTTATTTTTAGATTCCAAACATGGAAATGATATTGTCATTTTCATGAATTTGATATCAGTATAGATCTGAGGAAATTGAAATCTAAATGTATAGTATCGAACTTTGGTTACACAAAATTAAAGGAAATATTCAAAATTTAGAAAATATGTTGGATATTAAGAAAAGAGTTCCACTTTAAATTGCAGCGTTCATTGCGTGATCCTGTCAATTATTGTTTTCTTATCTTTAGTTCCCTTTCGTGTTCCCGGAGTCAACATTTTGAAGCTCCTTTATTGGAATGTTCTTTGGGAGGATGGCGGCCTCCAGCGGCTCGCTCCAGCCCAGTGCAGTTCCTTTGCAAATCCGAAGGCGAGCGCGGCTCTGTCCGGGGTTCGGTGCGGGTGGGTTGGGGGTGGGCGCGGCGGGGCGGGCGGGGGCGGGGGGGCCGCGGGGGGTGCCCGCGCTTGGCGGGCGCGAGACGTCAGCTAAGCCCAACGGTGCCTCGCGGCGGGGCGTCTCTGGCGTCCGACGAACCTCGTTCCCCACCTGGACCCGCTAGGCCGCAGTGTTGCCATGGAACTACACGGCATTAACCGGAGCTACTGCCAGAAAGAGTTATTATGGAATAATATAAATATTTATATTTCTTATTTACATTATTAAATTCGAGTAGAACAACGTGCGCGACATTTTATATATAAAAATTGGCCATTGAAAGGGCTGAAAGTTGGCAACACTGCATTCTTAATATTCTGTCCTGAATGCCTACGATTTTGTTCCACGTCTAATGGATGCTTTGAATGCGGCTTTTTTTCTGAATGGCTTGTTCGTTATTTGAATCTTTGTTGCATTATCATGAAAGCGACGTCTTGCAGTTGTCGCTTTACGTTCATTTTTTTTGTTGCTTTCATTCATATAAATCTGCCAATTAACCAACTCATAAGCTGTTTTCAGAGTGTGAGAATGTACCGAATGAACCATGAGAAATTATTTCTTCCACCTTACGCCTGTTACTATGTACTGGCATGCGACTGAATGAATCATTCTGCTAATCTTTCTTTATAGTTTTACTACTTTTATATATGCCAATGCCTCTTCTGCGAATGAGCATTTTCTACAAGTTTTCTTCCTTCTCACCTATCTTCTCATTTCTAAACTAACACCCTCTTGATTCTCTGTCCTTTCATACTAAATAATCTTATGAGGATTGCTGAACCGAAGATATAGTGGGTCACATTTTTGGTCTGACTATAAATTCCAAAATTCGGGGACTATGGTCACTCACTCGACAAAGGTACACTTCATCATTCACAAGTGAATTGTTTGCTTTGTAAAATACAAGCTTGCTATTTACAGCTTCATTGTCATAAACATATCGTACTGTCCTTACACTACTGATTCGTTTAAAAATTTTTAAATCTCTTAATGTTTTATCCGTAGAGTACTTCCTCTTAATCGTACTATGGTGTCGTTTGACTGGCAAATGTGATTTTTCATTGTTTGGTGTTCGATGTTTCCATGTATTATATGCTTCATTCTTCGATTCCTGTCCTCTTATATTGGTTATGGTGTCAGATTACCTTTGCGGAAGACGCACTATTCTGTAATGGTATCTTCACGCAACAACTCACGTACATCCCATTACGATCCGCCTTTTGTCTGCATATTCAAACAATGTGGTTTCATTTCGTTGTATATGATATGTTCAAATAATTGGTGTTTGATGTGTTTGTGTATTAATACATGTGTGTCTGTGTCGCTCACCAACATGTTATAAATATTGTTCTTTGTTGTCATGTAATCCATTAGTTCCTGCATGCTTATTGGGGAATGTATGAAATGTATACAAGTATATATTATTTTTCTCTCAGCAAGTGACCTGCCGAGAATGTTTTCTATAATATCAAATATGAACAGAATTTGGCGATAAAAATTTGATCAACTTCCCCAAGTAAATATTTTATCAGATCTAATAAATAGTAACTAAAGTAATAAGTAGTTTTGTGGATATGATATTTGTTATACGTAAATTCATGCAAAAAGGGAGCATAATGAACTGAAATAACTTAGAACTATGTGTAACTTCTTGAGAAAAATCTACTTTAAACGCAATAGCTAAATAAATTTATTTGAATATGCAACTAGATTCTTTCTTATATTCGGAAATATCATTATTTGCATAATAAATATTTTTCATTTGAGTATCCAGTTCTCATTTTACGTGAGTGACGTCCTTGCACGTGAGTCTCGTCGACCTTTAAAAGAAAAGAAAAGTTGCAAAACCGAGTTGAATAAATGGTCAATAAGTTTCAAAATAAAGTAGGACATAGATAAGTAAAAAAATAGTTTTATTAGTGACTTAGTTATCAGAGGTGTTTAGCCGATATGAACGTAGATAGATGGTGAAAGTAACAAGTAAAATTGAATTGTATGTTTACGAATTTATATATTGTATGAATTCCATGTATTCAATGACAGGAATGAAATATTTTAGAAATAGCTGTTATATAAACCTTTTTCTGTACGTTTATATGACCCCATAATCATGAGGTCTCATATTCTGATTACGTCTTAATGAGTTTTTTTTACTTGTAACGTACCCGATATGATTATCATCAATACGACAATCTTTTATTCAATGCTCTTTTTTACTTATAATATACATATATTTTTGTAAGGCCTTGTAAGCTATTTCTAAAATTTTGACGAGTCAGCCTTTCTTATATTTGGAAAATGGTTTCTTTTTTTCTTTTGTTCATGTGTCAATTATTCACTTGAAGACGTGCAATTTTGTGAAAATGGTTTTATTAAATTAGCTTAAAATTCAATTTTAAGCTAAAAACAAATTATTTTGTGACACTTCTGAGTATTTTCAAAATAATTGTATTATATGCTAAACAGGAAATGATAATAATCAGAAGATGTGAAATGTCAACGTATTATAAGGTAAACAGATAATTAGATTACGGTACAAGTTCTCGAAAACTTACGTTATATAATAAATAAACATTTGTTGTTGTACGGATCGTATTTCTTGTAATGAGTGGTTAAATGTACCAAATGGAAAGGAGGAGGTAGTGGATGTTGTGGAGTTCAGAAGGTTGTGAATCCGCGAGATGATCAAAGAGGTCAAAGAATCATTCCTCTTCTGGGAGGCTGCGTTGCTGTGCTTTCAACCGTGAAATATTTTTACGTGAATGAACCCAAGAAAGCTTGCACTTTAGGGCATTTAGTTTATATCTTTGCATAACAAAACGAGCCAACAAACCGTCGTCTATTGATAGAACTCTTAGAATGATGTGATAATGCATGAGCTTGGGTGAATTTCATTGATAATATCAATACTAAGAGTGCAGATGAAGAATCCAATAAATATATAGGCAATTTTTTTCTGGTGAAACATTTCAACTGTGATGATTAAAAACAGTTATTCGAGAATAATGTTATTTTTTATGGTATAAATTTCTGATGAAGAGGAAAAAATTAGATACTAAAGGTTAACAATAATTAAATTGCTCAAAATACGTATTGCCATTGAGAAACCATTTCAAAACGATGATCCAACGTATACTTTTTCCCTGTTATTTGAATGGTAATTTTGTGACTTATTTTTCCTTATATAATGAACAAAATTCCCTATTCTCTATAAACAGGGTAATAAGATATTATTTAACTTTTCTGAATTATCTAACTTTAACGAATGATAACTCCTGGGAAGAGATGAGCAGCACAAAGAGATGTAGCGCACTAAGCAGAGAGAACTGTAAATTTGAAAACAAAATAGTCGAATAAACATTTTTCTGTTACACTAAATTTCCTTCTTGATCATAATATAGTTTCTCTGCAGCAAAAGCTTAATTTCATTTTTCACGAAAGGTAACGTAACGGTGGCAGTCTAACAATATTTTAGATGTGCCAATATGATTTTCCAAATGAATGAACTAAAGCTGGAGAGTTAACATAATTGTTTAAGTCAAGAACTCACGCTTAAATTAGTATACCGATCAAACGGACAAAACTCCGTAGAATCAGAAAGAGGAGCAGAAATGAAATAGTTCATGTTCAGCACTGTTATCACCTGTATGTTGTACTACAATTTTCACGAACGCATTTGATGAAATACAATATTTTGGAAATTATTTGAAAATGGTTATTGCGATGAGAATAAACGAAATAAAATCGTTTTGAAACCCACTGAGAGGAGCTGTTTTAAAATTAGAACTCGTTTAGTTGACAATTGGAAAAGCGCATGGACGCAATACTTGGCACACCGAAGGGTACCAACCGCATGCCCTGCAACGCTCTTGTACTTGATGCACTCGGTGCACCTCCACAGACCTTGCACAGACCTGCATCTGCCCGACTGCCCTGCACTCTGATAGACCTGCCTAGGACTTGGCACTGCGCTCACCTTCGCGTGTAGGAGGTGGCGCTCTGCTTCGCAATGCACAGCCTGATGAAATGAAAGCCAGTGTTTCTTCGATCGCTGAAAGAACTTCGAATTCTTTGGTTCTACTTTAGAATTATAAGAATTCGAATTCTTTGACACAATCGGGTACCTTGAAGCAGTTTGCTGCTAAAAATATTGGCTTGTTTAATATCAGTGAATGTATGAAACAAATTCTGAGCTCTTACTAGAATGAGACACTGGCTTGGGAGACTGATGTGTGTTAACCGTAATGAAAGAGCAGTGCCTACCAAACAATGACTTGCACGCCCCACGTGAACGATCGACCTCGCACGACCCCACACGCCCCTGCACGCCCCATCAAGTCCTTGAAATGGTTGCCATTAAACCCCTTGGTCAACGCCTGTAAATCCACTGAACGCACCCGTGTATGCCCTCGCACGCCCTGCACGCCCTTGGCAGCCCTCAGAATAGTCGCCCTTCGCACCCGCCCTGCACAGCGCTCTCACCCCCGAGCCCTTAGCCTCCCCCAAAGGGCTCAGAGCCTGATCGACCGAGCCGCTCCTTGGAGTGGGCCCGAGCATTCCGCATGACGCTGCCTCAAGAAACGTCTTTTTTCTTCAATAAAGCAGTGGAATTTTTTCAGTATTTTACTGTTTTTGTTCTCATCTACAAGTGTTGAAGAATCTACCATTTTACTGTGAGAATTCTCATGAGAACAATAAGGTCCTAGATTGTTTTTATTCGGAACTGTAAAGGTACCGCACGTACTCTTTCGATTGGGTTTATCTGAGTAATATCAAAGAATTTACTTAAAGGTTTGTTCGTACTAATTACTCTTCGACGAAATGCGATTTGAGCGGCTCGCGGGAATACAATAGATGTAAAGCGCCTTCTCGGCAAGGTTTTAGATTTCAATTTTTCCCTCCCCAATGGAGCGCGCACGCACGCACGTACACACATATACACATACACATATACATATACATATACATATACACACACGTACACACACGTACACACACACGTACACACACGTACACACACACGTACACACACACGTACACACACACGTACACACACACGTACACACACACACGTACACACACACACGTACACACACACACGTACACACACACACAAAGCCACTCCACAAGAACAATAATAAACAGGATTTTTGTCTGCTGAAACTCAAAAACGCAATTTTGGCGCAGACCGCTTTGTTCCCCTGAGCCGATTTACTTTAAATTAATTTAAAACTGTTCTAGGGGGCGACTCGGTCAAACTTCGAAAGCGCTTCGATCCGCACTATTGAGGAATGCACTTCTGCACCCCTGCACAACCATAGCAACTCCCCGCATGATGGAATTTAAAGAAAAATAGTAGCAAAATTGGAGCATTGAACGACGGCGCGGGAAGTTACTGTTACGTTCCTCTTTCAAATTTGAATTGGATTACATACATACAAAGCAAACACATGGATTATTTGGACGGAAATAATTAATATAAGGCAGTGGTTACCAAGCGGGAGAGCACAATTGTGCAGTTCTTTTAAGTCTCTTTGTCACAGTCTACGTACTTCTGAGATATTTTTCAGCAGACCACTGTAATTCTTTCAGATTTCTTGTCTTTAATACATAATATCGTGTACATATAAACAAAATATGAATTCAAATATAATGGAAACAGTCCATTCTAAAATGGATTAAAAACAAGGAGATCAGTTGAAATAACTTTTTTATTTTTCATCCATTTTTAACTGCTAGATTTTCAAAAGTATTTTGTTGTAGTCATCGGTCCTCTCAAATCGACCTCAGGCCATGTTGAGGCATTTCCCTTCCTTGATTTATTGCATTCCCTTGGTCTCAGGCACATCGGCCTAACATCGTAAAGTTTAATGATTGTTGATTTAAAGTTTCGTGATTGTATATATTTATATTTTATATTTCTTATTATTTTTTAGTTTTTATGTAATTTATTTTTATAACAGTATTCAACAATATTATCTTATTCTTTATTCAGATGATATTTAATACATCGTTAATATCAATATTGTTTTGAAGCTAAAAGGATTCATCCGCGCAGTCTAAGATTCGTGAGGTTATTCGACAATAAGAACTGGTAACCACTGCCCCCATTTGCTACATTTTACAACCGCTGCCCTACTTGTTACATTTTACGCCACCACATATCATGGAAGAATTCTTGTTTGCAATGTAAGATACAACAATGTTGCAAAAATATATAAATTTCATGGAATTTCTTTGATGTTAAATCCACATATAATCAATTGCAGATTATTTTTTGCGTCTATTGTAATTCACCATAGAATGATTTAACAAAAGCATCAGTAAAGTTCCTTCAATTTCTCAAAAAACTGAGTTATACCCTCATTGTTCAACTATCATAATAACGTACTTTCTTTAATAAATTTATTATACCATCAACAGTTCATCTATTTTTTCTGAATTCAATTAATTTTGAATTTTGTTCATTCTTTCATCAAGTGTTCTGCAGAACCCAAAAGACTCATTTATCAAGACTCAACAACTCAACATGGAAGGAAGTCTCCAGAATTCCATTTCCTTGAAAAATAATGGTATTACATGTTAGTGTTTTCATTGTCTGCTTGATTCTGAGCTATAAAATTCCAATTGATTTTTGCAATTTTCCTGAAAATCAACATGTATAACTAAATTTATAGTTCTTGTTCGCTTTTTCTCTCAAGTATATCCTTTTGAAACAAATGTTATAATAGGATAGAAATTAGACGATAGAATTTCGTAATGTTGCTTACTTCTTGCTGGCTTACGGAAACAGAGATATTTCGTCAGTCCCAATTGTTTCCTCATCGGCCATTATACATTTCGGAGTCTCTTTTGGCCCATTGTTATCTTCTGTGGCGTTGAGGAGTTCGAAGCGCCAGTGGAAGCTCAGATTTGCCAGTCAGGCGCTCGCGCACACTCGCGGCGGTGCTGCCCCCAAGTGCCCGCGTGTACGGACTACACACGCCATTTTGGACGCCATCTTGTGCCGTTTCAGGTGATCGCGGTCATCTCCATCCTGTTCATAGTGCTTTCGACCATAGCGCTCACTCTCAACACCATCCCCAGCCTCCAGTACCACGAGAACGGCACCCTCCAGGACAACCCACAACTCGCCATGGTCGAGGCAGTGTGCATCACGTGGTTCACGCTAGAGTACGTCCTCCGGTTCAGCGCCTCCCCGAACAAGTGGAAATTCTTCAAGGGGGGGCTCAACGTCATCGATCTCCTCGCCATCCTCCCCTACTTCGTCTCCTTGTTCCTCCTGGAGACGAACAAAAACGCCAACGACCAGTTCCAAGACGTACGCCGCGTGGTGCAAATCTTCCGGATCATGCGAATCCTCCGAATCCTAAAACTCGCCCGCCACTCCACCGGCCTTCAGTCTCTCGGCTTCACACTTCGCAACTCCTACAAGGAGCTCGGGCTACTCATGCTGTTCCTGGCCATGGGAGTGTTGATTTTCTCCAGCCTGGCCTATTTTGCCGAGAAGGAAGAACCGGGGACAAAATTCATCTCTATTCCGGAGACGTTTTGGTGGGCGGGCATTACGATGACGACGGTGGGCTACGGGGACATTTACCCCACGACGGCGCTGGGGAAGGTCATAGGAAGTGTCTGCTGCATTTGCGGAGTTCTGGTGATCGCGTTGCCCATTCCCATCATCGTGAACAATTTCGCCGAGTTCTATAAAAACCAGATGAGACGCGAAAAGGCGCTGAAGAGGCGGGAGGCGTTGGAGCGCGCCAAGCGGGAGGGCAGCATCGTGTCCTTCCACCACATCAACCTGCGCGACGCCTTCGCCAAGAGCATGGACCTCATCGACGTCATCGTGGACACAGGTGAGTGCGGCTGCCCGCGGCGCTCGGAGCGGCCCCGCGCACGCACGCGCGCCTTCCCCTCCCCTCCCTCCCCTCCCCCTCAACATCTGAACGCACGCCACGGCCTTTTCCACTCTCCACACAACGTAAGAAGCGGGCTCTGACTGAGTTTACAACCAAGCACACCAGTTGAGTTGACGAAAGCTGTTGGCGATGGGTCACGTATGGCAGGATTGCACTCGTCTTGTGTGAACGTACGTTTGACGTTGAAAAAATGTAGTAACCACTTTGGAAGGCAGTAGCTGTTAAACCGTTTTGACCAACACCCTCGAACATTTGTCGAAAATTTGTTTGTCAGTTCAACTCCTCGCAAAACGTACAGAAATTTCCATAAATAAAATGATACAATAGACTGGTATGGGGAAAATGATATTCTCATATGTCTATCACACCTTGAGAAAGAAAACCGAAAACAAAAACATTTCTCTGAAATAAAATCAAGAGCTTCTAATTAAATTTGACGTGTTCGTTTTTGTGTTCGCCTCAGTATGATCCTGCATCATTCTAATATTCTGGCAACACTTTGGCTATCGCCAAAATTGCTGTTCTAACGGTCAATGTAGAGTGTGATCCAGTCGCAGTAGCAGGACCGCTGCGACCAAATCCACGGGACGCCCATCCCGCCGTGTGCAGTACGTGTGTTTGTGTATGTGTGTTGGGCCCGCCCTCCGCTCCCGCCTTCTTCCTTCTTCCATCCTCCCCCTCCTCCCCCGCATGCTGAATGCTGCCTGCCCGGCGCGCGCCCCGGCCGCTCCCGTTTGCGCTTCCGTGCACAGTGCTGCCTGAGGCGATGGTGACGCGGGGAACTCTCACAGTATGTCAAACAAACGCTTGCTCTGATGGCGAGGAAAACTCCCAAGTGCTCATTCCAGTTTTCTTTCGTGCTTTCGACTTTTTGGGGAGGGGCAAATGTTATGAAATTTTTGATGCTAAAAAGACATTAAGTGCATTATAAATTTTACGTGCGTCTTCAAAGAGAAAACAAAATAAATTACGTGAAAACTGATTTTGTTATTATCACCCAGATTACCGTTTCATAAACAATTTCAACATTCTATTTTCTAGTATCACAATTAGTCATAAAATCAAAGAACTTCATATATCATTGAAGTCAACAAGTGAAGAACTCGCTTGGAAGTACACGTGACTTTCTGTCATATTGAGTAATTAATATTTGACGAAAAATGGAAATCCCTACTTTCAAAAAATCTGGTTGGTAAGCGCGAAATTATTTTTCTCTTTTCTGGTTTTAAATTATAAAGCCAATTATCTCTATGCATTGAAGTTTTTATTGAAATCGCTTTGAAGAACAAAATGAATACTTTTCTATTTGTTTTGACATACTTAAGAGATCCTTGAGGAGGCCTTCTGAAGAACTGTGGATAGAATGGAAATTGTGTTTGTCTGTTTTGCATGCTAAATGATGGCAATGAATTTGAATGAATGATTTTTGTCTCTTCTTCTGTGACTCACTGCACTAGGTACTTCACGTAGTGATTGAAATGGCTGATAGATGAACGGGAAAATTATTGAAGCCGCTCGAAAAGAGATCGTATTCACTTGGTATCGTATGCAATTTCAACAAAAATATTCTCGTGAGTTTGAGATTACGAATTTTTCAAGATTTACTGTAATTGTACTTGATCTATTTATACTAATATGATATGAAAGAATTATATAATAACAATATTATTATTAATCATAACAGCAGGTTACGTACTTGAAATAACAATAGAGATTTAAGGACTGCTATGCGGTCAAAAAAAGGTTCAGATACCTTTGAAGAGAGTTTGTTGACGAGGGGGCAGTGCTTCTGTACCCCACACCACACACACACATGCGCGCACACACACATGGAACTTTTATCTGTTGATGCAAAACGTTGAATGAATGCTCGCTATTCATACAGGTCCCCTAATTATACCAGAAAATACCATGTAGACTTTGATCATTTTTTGAAAAGTTTGGATCAATGTGTCAAATATTTTGATTTCCTTAAAAAATTAGGCTCTTTTGATGCTTACAGACGCGCAATTCATATAAGTTGCATTGAGTCAACGCGTTATCTGTACTGCACCGAGGGGTACAAGTGAGGGGTAGAGATAGGCCACGTGGAAGCGACCCTAACTCGTATGGGAGAGAGGGAGCGAGCCAGACAGCCTCCGCGGCAGGAAGCGGGACTCACAGCTGCCGTGTTCTCCCTACGTCAACCAATCAACTCGACGTGAATGAAGGACAGGATTTGAATGGCAAACCGCTACTAACAAAGGAGACGGGTTTTCTCAAAAAACGAAAATATCGGACGGAAAACCGATTGCACCAAATTTACTCAAACTCTACTTAGGGTAAACGAACTCTTTCTAACTACTGAAACGTACTAGGATTATACATACATTTTGGTCGGGATTACAAGTGACAACCTTATTATAACTTTATTTATTACAATAAAACAGATGTCTATTTTTATATAATCACGTGTGTATTATGGTAACACTTTTGCGTGACAAATTTCATTAATCTTTTAGTTCCTTCCCATTAATGTCTTATTGGACCGTCGTTTTGAATGCGTACACATCAGTAACTCATGCTTCCCGCGCGAAGTCGGGGGGAGGGAGGGGAGAGCCCTTAACGAACTTCATTTTGATAGATTTGACAGTGAAAGCGCTGTGTCGCCGCTACGGGGACGCGTTTATCAAGTCCCCGTTCAGCAAACAGCGCGCGGCGTAGGCGGTGCGTCGCGTTGTTTTATATCCCGGCCGTTGCGAAGAGCTGAAGCGCTGTGCCTCGCTTGGGCTTCGCTGCCAACTCGACACTTTCGTTTTAATTAGGTTTTTGCCCCTCTCGGCGAGTGCGTCGGGTGGTGCTTCCATTCGCGTGGGGAACGGGGGGGGGCACTTTGGCAAATGTCGCCCACGCGTCGCTGTCGTCGTTCGTTTTACTCGTAACATCACCAATCGCCGGACGTGGAGGGAAAACGCGCCACTTAATTGGGTGTCGGTCAAGTCGCAATTTAAAACATTCCACATCACATCGTGTTGCTTTTTGTGTACACTTTTTTACAGTGACAGTAGTGTTAGCATAATGTTGCCAAACATGGGATACGTCATATAACATATAGATGACTCTGTTGAGAACAGCAAAGCAAAACTATTGTTGATAAGAAATTTTGAGAAGATAAATTTGCTAAAAATATTACAGTGGCTTGTAACATTCCTACTATATCTAAGATAAATTTACAGAATTTTGAATACCATACACAATGTTGGCACTAGTTTTTAACTAGTAGTTCCCATGATAAGAAGTAACTTATGAAAAGAGAACCTTATTAACCTTTCCAAAGGGAGATGCATAGAACTAACTTCTTGCTGTGTCCATGTCTCCGACAAAAGTATGCGTCTTGTCCGCAATTTGCATACTGTCAAGGAAACCACGCCAACACACAAACAGGTTCCCCACATCACACTATTTTAGTAAGAATCTTCGTTTGACAAACCCACTCTCAGACGATAATTTTTTACTAAGATATTACATATAGTTTACATAACCCTCTCAATAGAAAAGTTTAAAAAAATTAAGGTGGTTGAATATTTTTATCTAAACACCATTGACAACAAATAACACATTGGCAAACAATAAATTTAATGACCTCGGGCCTGTGAGATTATCAAGAACGAGTTCAGATCTTAGGCTCTTATTTTCAGACCAAATTGCTTCCGATATTATTTTGAGGTGGCACTATTTTGACATGTGTTAGATGCAATTTCTCACTCTCTACAAGTCATTCGACCGGTGAAACGCATGTATTCCCTTTGAGAATAGTAATCAGGTTGCCCAAATACCAAACCGCAGCTAATGATTGCAACGGCGTAGATGTCTCTCAGTAATAGGTGCTGGTGTTTACTCCCCATTCATGTCTTGAGATGATAACAGAGATGCCCAATGGAAAACTGAATAAATTTGTAGAGATTTGTATTATGTTATGACATTAAATATGTTGACAAATGAAATACTTAAATGAAGAATTAAATGCAATAAAAATGGCAGAATATATAAAACTTCACAGAGAATATTTTCAGAAAATTGTGTGCATACGGACCAAGATATATCCTCAAGTATTATTTTAAAAGTTGTCAAAATATTGAAATGCATTCAAAAGAGAGAATAGAAGTTTTAAGTTTATTCTACGAATTGTCTCATTGGAAATGTAGTAGTTAGATGCCTCTTGGTGCATTTATAGAAATCTTTATTAGTTTTTGCCTGTCTCGAGAGCTCATTTATGCTGTCAAAAACTTTCACAAAAGTTCATGTTTGTGTACAGTGCGTGTGAATGTAGAACTATAAATACGTTATTCTTTTATTTATATTTCTACTGTAGGAATAAACAATTTTAAAATGTTACAATCTAATTATTTAAGATATTATTCGGTATGTTTTCTACTTTTTAAACTTTAGGGAGCTAGCTTCAGGGATATGGCATGCTATACGTTTCAGCTTTCAGGTGAAAACTTCGTTAACGCGCATGTTTCTTTAAGTCTTCTGCATCAAGCTTGCATTTAAAGTAGACAGTGAATACGATTTCGTAGATTTTAATTTCAACTTGTATAGACTTAATTAAATATTACAATTTAGTCTTGAATTTCGATTTAAATGTTCTGCAGGAAGGAGAGTCGCTGTAAGTATTGTTAATGTGCAGGTTGTACTACTTAAAATGCATTTGCGACTCACATAAAAAGAAAAAAAATATCGAAAACGGTAAATGATTATTGATAATTGTCAGAAGGATTCAAAAGCGATTACTTCTCTAACCGTTTTAGCTAAAACCATTTGAATGACCCCAAATGATTGCCTGTTAGAGTAGAGCGCTTGGCTTATACTCCGATTGAAAGAAAGATGTGATAGCCAATTAAACAAAACAATAATGTCCACAATCCAAATAGTCAATTCTACGTATTCTCGATCCCACAATGAATGTTTCATGTAAATGTATGCGCACAATTTCAGTCAGTCTAGAACTGAATACAATTAAATAATAAGGTTCAGGCCATACAGAAGTTTCTTTGACTATTGTATAGTGCTATTTTTTAACGTGGCGTACCAAGGACACGCACAAAAAAGGGAGAGGGAAGGCAGACTCCCATAGGGTGTCTAAAGTAAGAGTTGGTGTCGTTGAAGCTCTCTATTGGAGTCTGCCTTCCCGCTTCTTGTTCTCGTGCGTGACCGTGAGACGTCACGTTAAAAAATCGAAGAATAATGCGACTTTGTAGGAGGATCTTATTCGGTTTGATACCAGAGGCGGCTTTTTTCTTCTTTCCCTCAATCACACAAAAAGCATACCGATTATTTTGAATAATAAAATATTTTTGGACTGACATTTTTAATGAAAATGTTGGCCCCTCGAGCATTGTAAACGAGTGAACATTTCCTACCACATTGTGAAAATTGTAAGTATAGTGAATACGTAGGCTTCCGCGCCCAGAGTTATGTAAATGATCTTGGCTACCCGGGTGACACCGCGTCGAAAGCTATTGCCGACGTGTCGACCCTCTTTCAATCCAGCCCTGAGGAAGACCACGAGAAGACGGTCGAAAAGTCGGCAACCCAGACTTCGACGCGGCGCCACCCGCCCAGCCACGATTATATTAAGTATAGTAGTAATATTTGGCATATACTTTGAAACGACGTGAACTCAAACGTGCTTTGTGGATGTTCGGAGTGAATGGTTGTGGCCCTGCTGAATCGCACGCAGCCGGGCGTGGCATTCGCTGTTTTGGGGAGGGGCCACTCGCATATTCCTTGAATCGGAGCATGGCCCCAGCGCTCGTAGCCGAGCGGCCACGCCGGCCGGCTGCTCCGCGGAGGAGTGGTGTGGTGTGGTGTGTTGTGGCCTTTTCAGTGTGCAGTGCTGTGTTCCCCAGGTGAGAAGGCCGCGTTGCTGGGCGGGACGAGCGTGGACGCGGCATGCCCGCCCCCAAAGCCCAAAGACCAAAGACTCTGACCGCCTCCGCCTCCGCTCCGCTCGGCCTTAGGTCCGTTGCCCGCGGGGGAAGCTTCTCTATAGTCTTTCCCGCCGCGCGCCGCGCGGTCGCTCCGCTGGCTGCGATGCTCGTTGTGGTGATGGCGGCGGGCCGCGTTCGGCGATCCGCATCTCCTCCCCTCCCCTCCCCTTCCCTCCCCTCCCCGCCTCCCTCCTGCCACGCATCGCCTCTTGTAGTGCTGTGGCGCGGGCGAGTCGCCAGCGAAGGACATGCGGCGCGCCCGTCGCAGCAGGCAGACTTCCTAGACACAGAGACTCGCGTATTTCCTTGCCCCTCCGATTCCGCCATTTTATATCCAGACGAACTGTTCGGTATTGCTGGGAACCTCCAATCTACCCAAATACAATATCAACGTATCCGAAAATCTCATGGTGCCCCCAAATGTAATCGTTTCTCTTTGACTCGTGTGTGCTGCCTGCCGGGACTACCAGTGTTTTGAATCGGAGCAGTCGGTGAGGTTGCGCTACTCTGTGTCTGAGGAGCCACTAACGGATGAGCCTGAGCGCTGCCACTCCCTTCCCGTCCCGCGGGCGACGCACCTCACGAATGAGCCAAGTCCGCCCCCGGCGCCCCGCCCCGCCCCGCCACGCCACTACGCGCTGCCACCGCAGCCCCACGACGCGCGAGTCAGGGACGGCAAACGACGACTGGGAGCGTTCGCCCCATCTTCCACATCTAGCTCATCATTTTAAAACATATTTTTCTCTTCCGACGGCGGATTCGCTCACCCCTCTGCCAGTTGTTCGTAATTGAATTGGGCGACGGAGAAAGGGAACACGTTTTTTTGCAATTTTACAGGAGGAAGGAAACATATATAATACTTCCATATATTATATCATCCCGTCCATTTTGTCTGTGTAAATTTACTAGGGGTATTTTCACAGTACAATTTGCCTTGTATTTAAAGAACAACTATCCAAAAGAAAAAAAATCAATGTATTTTGACTTGTTCCTTTCCTCCTCATGCTGATTCAATTTTACTCACTTTTTTTAAAACAATCACCGCGTGTTGATTGTAACATATCCAAGAGTACTCACATTATCAATTGACACTTTTGATTTGAGCCTAACACTGTTTCAAAATATTTCGTTTTTTTTTATATTTTCGATTTTTAATGGGATAATTTGCAACAGTGCAATTTAGTGAAATATTCCACCATTAATTTATTTTACGGTGTATCGATTTATTACTGTTTTATTACTGTTAGTGTATTGTCAAGATACGAGAAACACTGTAGGAAAATAAATCCTTGACGTATTAAGAATTAATAATGTTCAAATGATCATTAAGGATAATCGCGGGAACCAATCACAAACTTATTTCCTACAAACTGTCATTTATTTAAGTTAAAACATTAGAAGACAAAAAGTCTTAAAACTACCTACATTTAAACATTTTTTTCCAATTAATTTAATTTAATGACTGTCCTATTCACATTCAGGTAACGTATTTATCAACTCTTGCCGACGACACACCACAGACAACAGAACAACCTTCTCCACTGAAAATACTTTTCCACTAGAATTCGCGGGCATTTCCGGATATTCATACATGTCGAATGCAACAAACTGACCTAATTACGTTTATTTAAAGTGGGTTGTATGAGTTAAATGATACTAACTCTGCTTTGTTTTCCTGACTCTATATTGAATAATGATGATTTTAGTATGATTTTTGTTTATGTTTGAGACAAATAAATTTTAAAATTCGGATACATTATTCTTCATTCGCACGATAAATGAACTCCCAGATGGCTTACCAATGATATTAAATTTAAAATTTGTTTCGAATTATTTATTAAATTTCAGGTTGCTCATTAACTGCTTAGTAGTATATCGACTACTGTGATTTTTAATACTGGGGTAACTGTAAAGGAAACACAGAACAACAACATAAACCAAACATTACCAAACATCCATACCCGGGACGGGATTCTAACCCGCAACCCTTTGAGCCGAGACAGTCACGGTCTTTAGCGACCTCGGCCTATCCCAGACGGCATTTCGAATTCTTATTTCATTGAGCAAAGAACAAGCAAAGGTTTTGTATGCACCTTATAAATAACTTAAATTTAAAGCACAATACACTAAACAAAATGATACACCTATATTTACATTTACAAACATTTTTATATTCCCCAAAATAGACGGATCGTTGTTTCATATATTTTCCGTAGCATTGCTACTTTGTCTTCCAACAGCCTTGTCTAAATCTATTATTAATTTTCTACGAAAGATTCGCGAAAACGTAGGCTTCGTTCCACCCCTTGTTTCTGCTCTATAGTTGAGCAATACTCTGCAATCACACGATTATACTGTTTGCGTGGACACGACCCAGCTGCACCCGAGAGGCTCAGAGGCGATGGCGCTAGGGGCCAGAGCACGGGCGCCGGGCACTTACTGGTTGCTCGAGAAACGTTAGCACTCCGCGCGCCATCTTGATCCTTTGGATTTGGTTCTCGGAACTAGGATCAACACGTTATTAGAAAACTTCTCCTTCTTTACCTAACAAATGTGTATATTTTTATAATAAGCATAGTTTCTCTTTAATTGAAGACATTCAAATATTTTTATTTTACATAACTGTGATTTTATTTTAAGTTGGCGTTGGCGACGTTTTGGATAATATCTTGTTGCCCTCTTCACGTCTTTTGTTTAAAAAAATTACACATTTTTAAATACTGGATGCTTACTGCAGTGAAGACATAAACTCCACTTCACAACAGTGGATATAATAAAGAATTATTGAAGTGGAGCTTATGTTTTGACTGCAATAAGAATCCAGTATTTTAAAATGTCCATTTTTTTTAAACGAAAGACCTGAAGAGCGCTTAAAGTTATTAGCCGAAACGTCACCAACGCCAACTTTAAATAAATCACAGTTATGCATAATAAAAAATATCTGAATGTCTTAAATTAAAGAGGAACTGTTTTTATTAAAAACAGATTATTCCAATATATTTGCTCTAAGAATATGAATTAAATGATGGATTGAAAAAGTCAGTTTCCAGTCAATAAAAACCCAAGTAAACTCCAACGACGACGACGATGACTATGAACCACAAAATAATCAGCGGTATAATCAGAAAAGTAGCTATTTATGCTCTATTTTCTATCAGCGAATGTAGGCGTAGGTGAAATGGCGCATGTGGAGAGCTCGCGTTTAGAGCAGAGGATCCCATCGCGGCGCATCAGGGGACGGGAGACGCGGCGTCATCCGCCCGAGGCCACTAATGCATGTCTTCCGCTCACTGACCGCTTGGCTCAGATAACCCTCACGTTCAGCCTCTGGTCGCAACACCCGGCAAATATTGAGACGGGCGAGCGTTCTAAGCAAATCTTCTCAAAGCTTGTCCAAAGGAAGATTAATAATTGAAATGAATATCTGGCAAAATAGGTATCAGATTACAGGCCCTCTCTTTGGCTTCGGATATTTCGCACAGTAACATGTGTTCAATTTCATGTAAAGTCTTTTGTTGATATTCATACAGGAAGAAGCGAAGAGTAAGCTATAGCGAGAAGGAAACTCGCAATAATGTATAAACTGTAACAATCGCATGAATTAGCATCGCATGATTTACCACAATTTCGTAATTGTATCAAAACAAATTAGTTTGCAAGTGAGTCACAGACTGGAGAATTGCTGAAAATGAGGAAAAGCAGACTTGTATCTATCTTAAAAATATGTCGGATTACAATGACTTTCCAGGCATACTGAAGATGTTCGCATTTCAGTTGAAGAAGCTTTTTGATTTGCTAGAGTGAAGGCATTTTAGTTCGATGGGTCAAAATTCATAAAAAATCCTAGCTCACGTTGCGTTTCTCTCCATATTAAAAAGTGTCTGTAATTCTGAGATTATCATAGCTCTAGTAAAAAGTTATATTTTTGTATATTGAAAAGAAAAAACACATACTTCTCTTCATTAGTGACTTTTGTGTTACTGCAATTAGATTAGTAAATCTTCAGTTGAAGATTAGAAAACTATTTATTCAAAAAGGTCAGGTCCATGCAAGCGCTCATAAATGATGTAACGCTAAAGAGGGAGACTGGTCCGAGACAGCGCGACGCTGCGTTACACAGGGGTTGGAGATATTATTTAAATATTACGTAACATTGGCCTTTTTTACATTGTTAAACATTCGCTGAAATAATTCCGTTATTGAGTCGTGTACTAAAATATAAAAAAACTAACTAATTTGTTGTAAAACAAATAAATTCACATTATTAGACACAAATTGTTACATTAAATGGAAATAATTTGTCTGCAAAATTGTATTGAATCTGTAGGATTACGAAGAAAGTATATGTGTAAAAAAACCCTTATATGTACTAGCATATTCTAGAATCCATTTCAATTTGGGCAGTAGACTCCCGCTCATGCGAAATCTACGATGGCGTATGCACAGCTTGTGATCAAAGATTTTCTCATCCATGCGTTCTTCCTTCACTCACAACTTACCCCAAATTTATTGTTAGGTGCAGCCAGTATCTCCAACCAATTTATCCTAATTATCATTAATTTTAATGGCCAACACAATCAAAATAAATCCAAATTGTTTTCACTGTGCTATAATGTTTTTTCATCCTTGCATTTATTCTGAACAGTGTTACGTAATTATTTTGGGATGATTCAGGCGCTCGTTGTGGGTGCGTTCCAGGGACGAGAGGGGGATTGAAAATACTCCAAATTTGCGTTACGTAATTTATGGATGGCCTCTTATGACCAATATGCATGGCTTACTCTCGCCAGTTGACATTAAAACATTTTAATGTAAGCTTAATACTAAATAAACTCCAACGTGCTGTACGTCTCCTTTGAAACAATTACATTAGCTAAATATATAATCGTTGCTTTAATTCAGTGGTAGGATACATGGCACATTGAAATTTTCCCTCGTTTTAGGCATTTAAAATGCATAATTTGTAATTTGAAAGTAAATTTTTGTAGTAAATATAACAAGGCACTAATTATTTACAAGGTTTCACATATGTGAGTAATATAATGTGT